TTTTTTCCACATCTAAATGGTATTAACCTGATGCATATTGTTTATGTTTTTGGCTACTATTGAAGCTGTTTGTTTTAACATTTACAGATAAGTTCCATTGCAAGCACCTCACTATATACTTTATTTTTTTAAAGAAGAGTGGAAATTTATTTAATTTTTGTGGTAATCAACATTATGCCACAAACGCTGTCAATTCAGCTTAGTTTGAACTTAACCCAGAGTATCCCAGAATATTAAACTAGACCACTGGACAGACACATAGTTTTGGACATGAAGCTGCATGTTAGCGACCCTCTATCCACCTACACACCAACAGCTCAGCCGGACAGCACACAAGTTACTCATCCCTTCTGTTCAAAAAACACATTACAAATCAGCTAGATCTCCGCACACTCACTCTGTGTGGCTTTAGATGAAAGCTCGGCCTAAAGAATAGGAAGGGAGCTCAAAAGTGTGTCTTGTCACACTCATCTGCAGCACTGGAGTAGTGACAGACGCACCTGTTTTGCTCTTTAAAGGATTTTTGTCCTCTTTCACCCCCAATGAGCCATCCAGATATCAAGTAAAATGTATTCTTAAAAAAACACTGTTAAATCTTATTATGTTGCTTCTGTTCCTCAGATTATGTAATTATTTGAGATGCCGAGAAGAAAATGAGACAAAGTGTACTAGGGATGCCAGGGAACAGATCACACCACAGAACATCCAAAATAAGCAGATATGCAGCAACCTGAACTCAGCAAGACAGGGAAATGAAACTATAAATCCCTTTCTCTAAGATTTATTAAGTACAATCAAGAACTACCCAGAGCTCAGTGTTGCACAATACCTGTAGCTGACAAACATGGACATTACTTTAATTCAATACCAAAATGTAACGTATTTTATTGTAGTCTATATAAATATGTTTATATACTTCATGTATTTTAATATATTTACTATATTTTAATATAACTATGTTTGAACTTTTTTACAGTTCGCTTAAATTGTCCTGCAATGTGACAAGTACAAATATTCCATGCACTCTTCTAATTATATGAGGCCATAAAACTGCGTGCGTGCGTGCATACTTATAAAATATTGTCCAAAATACTTTTAGCTGTAGTATGCCAGTATGACTGCTGTCACTGGTTACCCTGAACAATGTTACGAGACGATGACCAACCTGCTACACGAAAGGATTTCATATGTCCACGCGCGTGCATTAAGGGCTTACAGCTGTTCCATTTTACGCACTATTGTAAATAGCTTCGGGTGACTGTTAAATTTGCCCAAAACACTTTGTATTTGCATTCGACATTTTGGTGAAGGAACTGTAAGTTGGTACGGTCTGCGCACTTACGGGTGCCATCGAAACGGGTGGCGATGGTGTAAATATAACTATGTTTGAACTTTTTTACAGTTCGCTTAAATTGTCCTGCAATGTGACAAGTACAAATATTCCATGCACTCTTCTAATTATATGAGGCCATAAAACTGCGTGCGTGCGTGCGTGCATACTTATAAAATATTGTCCAAAATACTTTTAGCTGTAGTATGCCAGTATGACTGCTGTCACTGGTTACCCTGAACAATGTTACGAGACGATGACCAACCTGCTACACGAAAGGATTTCATATGTCCACGCGCGTGCATTAAGGGCTTACAGCTGTTCCATTTTACGCACTATTGTAAATAGCTTCGGGTGACTGTTAAATTTGCCCAAAACACTTTGTATTTGCATTCGACATTTTGGTGAAGGAACTGTAAGTTGGTACGGTCTGCGCACTTACGGGTGCCATCGAAACGGGTGGCGATGGTGTCGAGGAAGGTGTTCTGCGGGGCTAGCAGTCCTCTCATCACAGGCATCCTGGTGCGGGTCGACTGCGTCCTCCTCCCGCCTCTGCGCCCAGCAGAGCCAGTGGACTCCTGCTCAGCCCCGAACCCGGGTAAGAATCGGGATGTTCCGGGCGCGCATCCTAGACCCTGCAGGAGCGCCCCGATCCGTGATACGCGCGGCTCCACTTTGGCAGTTCAACAGTGACCATATCCTTTAACAAAAAGCCCACATATCTGCCTCACATCGTGTCATAAAGAGGGCAAAAATCCACGTACGTGTCTCTGTAAGTCAGGTGCTTGGAGATGAGATGAACCTGTGCGTAACGGCAGCGCTGGAGACCAGAGCTCTGACTGGTGAGGCGACTGCGCACTGATGCCGTGTGGACTTCTGTGGCACCACGATCCTTCCTCTCTACATCTATATTACTGGCTTTCTCTAGTTGCTATAACCAGCAGGTGTCACGTCACGTGGTGAGCAATCTGGTACGGAGGCTAGAACCCTTGTACTAGTTGTCTTTTTATTAAAGATTCTTTATTCAGATGAAATGATCTAAAAACAAACCAAATTTTGATTTAGTAAGAAATTCGATTTTTTTTCACAAGAAAATACTTAGTGACTGTGGAAGGTTCTTCCCGTTTACTGATTTTACACATAAAAAGTGAGATTTTTTTATTTAAGGGTCAGTAAATTAATGATAATTTACTGGATCTAAGTTATATTAAAAAAATACATTAAAATCACTTGAATAGTCAACACCTCGTTGATAATAAACACATCTGTCAAGGTGGTGTAACTGTAACTTTTTTAAAGAGATGATGGCATGAGTAGTTGAGAAAAATGGTTTTCTTTAAAAAAAAAAAACACTACTAACAGAACTTCAAAAATACATATTTTATACCTTTACAACCATGTTCAAAATATAAATAAGTGCATATAGTAACATTGTCTGTTAATTCACAGTCCAAGTCAAGTATTTTAGTACAATGTAGACGATTATTACATTTAAAAATATATATATTGTACAAAATGTAAACGTTTTTCAAAAATGGACGCAAAGCCTTGTTCTATAAGTAGATGCTTCCTTTTTTTATCATGTCCAACATCATTTGTCATCGATTCATAAATCAAACAGTATAACTATTTGCAAGAGTGTTTTACTACTATCCCTGACTATTTCTTTTACATTTAATTTTGTACATGATCAATGTGTTTGTGGTCAATAATAATAGAACAGAATAACAACGGAAAAAAGCTTTATTGATATTTTTCTCCAGTGTGGTAGAAAAAATGAAATACAGTGTCTCCATGGACCAACCTATAACAAGAAAAACAAGTGAATGATATGTAATTTGACACAGGCAATACATACAATTTCACAACTCACCACTGAGGTTAAAACACAGTAGCTCAAAGTATAAAAAGAGAAGAAGAAAAATAAGTAATATACATGGCAACATTTTGTTATTTTTCTTCTCAAAGTTAGTGTCTTGTTTCAGACTGAACAGCTCACACTCTCACACCTAAAGTTTAATGTCACCTTGGCCTGCAGACTCATATTCCGGATGCCCAAAATATTCCAAAGGACGACACACTTACAGACTGTAAAAGATATTAGGCCACAGATGAAATGCAAAACACTTCTGTTTCATAATTTGCAACTTGACTTATCAGGATTCCTTTGCCATGTCTTGCATTGCTATAAAAATATACAAAATAAATAAAAGGCCGATTTCATGTATGCTAAACCATTACAGTAAACACCGGCATAAAGGACAAAATATTGTGGCAGTCACAGGGGACTCTTACTACAAACTGAGTGATGGAATTATTGCGACATCTGCCGGTAAATATGAATTCTGCATTCACACAGGAGATGCCTTCCCCTTCCTACACACAAACTCAGAGGATAAGCAACCCGTTTCAGCACATGAAGAGCAGTGCTCGTGAAGGTGGATTGAGAATATGGACTGCTCAAGAAACAGAATGCGTTTTGGAGGTTGGGTGAACCTGTATATATCCGTCTTACCTGTATCATCTTCTGTTTCATCTGCTTTTGCTGGTGAAGATTTGCAGGAGGCATGGAAACTAGAAATCACCCATATATTATGTGCGCAGGGAAAGGCTGGTACAAAACCAAATCATTAACAGTTTGGTTTATGAAAATTGGCATTGGTATCGCGCTTATTCTGTTACTTTTGGTGGCGTCAAGACGCACTTTTATGACGCGGTAGTACCACATACTTGACAATATTTAATAATGTTAAATAGAACGCAGAACTGGGTGCGTTAAAAGCAAGGAAGAAGGACTGGCTTTGAAATATGATACATGTGAGTAGAATTGCAGAGAGGGTGTCCAAATAGGCGGGGCTTATGGTTCCAAATAATATTTTAGTTCTAAATAATCATTTCGGTTTCAACTCTTAATTGTTTGTTTTCAGTTCGGTGTCTATTAAAGTCCTCCGTGTCATTCATTATTCATCTGTAAAATATTGGTCATACTGCTACCAAAAGGAACGCATTAGTCACGTGGTAATTGTTATTTTTCTCGGCGTTGATGAGAATGCACGAATCACACTTCTAGATTAATGGATTAAGGCATATTCTATTGGAAGAAATATAAGAATGTTTTTCCAAAAAAATAAAATGCTTCACTAGACACAAAACTTAATACAAATACAAACTGCAGCAAAACATAAGTGCATAAAATAGAAATAAATATATGAAAACAAATACGACACAGGGGTTTATCATCAAAATATTATACTTTTTTTTAATTAACTGCAATTACATATAAAATTATTGGCCAAAACCACAATATTATTATTAACCAACAATGTATATATATATATATATATATATATATATTACTGATAATACTGATTTATTCAGTCATTAAATCAAAGTCATTTTCTTCACTTTTTTACAATTGAAACAAAATGACAAAAAATTAAGAAATGTTCCTAATTATTGCCCATTTCATTTCAGTTATAAAAAGTGAAGAAACTGGATTTGTGATCCTACAGTTCAACGAATGGTCCTCATTTTTGAGCTGCATAGCGTCTCCTAGAGTCTGTCCCAATGCAAACAGCTATTATCCAGAAACATATGCCTTCCAATATGGCGCATAATGAAGGAGGGACTAGTCGTTTAAGTGTAGTTCCGTATTCTCTTGGATTGGTGGAGGATTATCTGATTGAAGAAGTACATGTATGAGCAGAGCTGGGGAGAGCCTATGCCATCCGCTCAGCTGATAGGAAACAACGCCCTCCAAGACGAGTCAAAAAGCCTTTAGCCTCCACAGGACACATCAACCATCTGATATCTCTCCATTTACTCCAATACAATCTCAAAAGAAAAGGTAAGCGTCGTATATCGAATCGCGATCGTTCAAAATAGCCAGTAAATCACATTACAGTCGTTTGATTTGACGTGTCCTGTAAAGTGCTACCGGTATGCTGAGCATTGTTGAAGAAAACACTGTTAAAGTGATACATTCATTAGAGAAGAGTGGTCGTAATGTATAAACGACATATTTAAAGAATTGTTAATGTTGCATTATTAATTTTTTACGACAGATCGTACACAGGTTCGTCTAAACCGTCATTATGACTTTTAATAAAACATTAATGTAAATGTGCAAAACAGGATCGCACGCGCTGTATTTGACCTTTGTCATAATTGTTTTGTTGCATAACCAGTGCCAGTTGGAACTGCAATGAGACGTTGAAACATTTGTTAATAGTGACACAATTGATGCGATACACCGAATCTCTCATGGTGAATAAAAGGCCTGTGTCATCTATATTACACAATGGCTGCCTGTCTGTCAGGTGCTGTTATTTTAGTTGCATAAGAATAGCTGGTGTCTCTCACAAAAGCTGGTACATCAGTACAGAGATCGTAACACCATAATGATTGTACTTGCATAGTAGTTCAGGGTACTTAAAAGAACAGCATGTCCTTTTACCATGTCCAAAAATACCATAGTATTACCATGCACATCTGAAAAACTAAGGTGTTAGTATAGCCATTTATGAAAAACCACACAAACTACAGACTTCTAAATCTGAGATTTGTGCGTATTAGTCTGCAGGCTCAAAACTGCTGTTCGTTAAAACAGGTTTAAGGCAAAAATGCCGATTCACTGGTTGTGTAACTTTTCTCAGTGGAATCTAGCCTATTCCTCCTTCAGGGAGTAAGTACTGACCCTACTATACATCTTAACATATAACCGTCATTGGTCTTGCAGGGTCCAAAATGTCTCAGAAGATCAAAGCAGGTTCTGTGGTCGAGATGCAAGGAGATGAGATGACCAGAGTAATATGGGAGCTCATAAAAGAGAAACTAATTTTCCCTTATCTGGAGCTCGACCTGCACAGGTGAAATTAAATGTGTGTGTGTGTGTGTCACGTTCACAGCAGGTGAGCCTTTCTCTCATTATATCTGATTTCCCTTGTGAATACTCAGGTTTAAGCCTGTATGATAATCTGATTTAATGTCACTTTTCTGCCAATTAGTCGTTTCATACCCATAGTGCTAATGTTAATGCCATATTAATACTTTTTGCACTATGAAATCATTTTGAAATAATTTGTAAACTCCTTTCAAAATCTTTTTATTTATCTATATTATAAAATAATGAATATTGTAATTATATATAAAACTATTTTTTATATATAATTAAATTATATTTAAATATAAATAATAAATAATTTAATGTTAATTTTATTTGTTAATTTTTTTTATACTGATATTGTAATAGTTTTCAATTAGTTTGATATTTATAACCAATATAAACTTGCCACATACTTATTTTATTGGCATAACTGAACATTACTAACAATAATCATGCCATTGAGCAGGTTCCTGTCAAGTTTTACAAATATGACATTTCCTGTTGTACAGATGTGGTAATCCTCAAGGCCAAAGGGAACTGTTATCTTCCCATAAGTTAGCACTTTTATTACCTAACATCACTTTCTGTGCTTTTCTGTGTTATGAATTGTCAGCATCTGTACTTTGAACTTTATAGGTTATGGTTTGATCTGAGTGGCTCAGATCTGAAGACCTGCTTTTTTGTTAAAACATAAATCAAGTATTTAGCATTGTGCATGAACTTGACCTAGAGGTTTGAAGAATAGTTGCAAGGTAAAAAGTCGGTCGGTTATTGGGCTGATAAGAGTATTATCAGTATGTTAGCAAACAAGGTGTCGTCACTTAAGGGGGATCTCTTGACGCCTGTCCATTCAGTCACTTCCACTGAACTTTGGACTGGTCTTTGAGCTTGTATCGTAAGATTGTTTTCGTATGTTTACTTGTCATTTGTGCTTTTAGTTGCATTGTTGAATGCCGTCTTTGCATCGCAGGTTTGCATTGATGGATTGAACTAAGCAATCCAACTCTGGCAACTCTTAAAAATGTATGTTAAATTGTTTTGAAGTCCTCTAGCGCCACCAACAGTTTTTCAGAATCATTAACGTACCAGGGAGTGGAAGGAAAGTGAGTGAAAGGTCACAGCATACTCAACACAATAGTGAGGACGCAGAACAAGGAAAGTATGGGAAAGTTCATCGCCCCGCTGGCAGTGCTGTGTTGTAGCTCAGGGATGCTCTCTCCAAAGTGTGTGTTAAGTCTGTCATACTCTTTCTTGCTAGTTGTAGAGTCTCTGTGAGGACGCCTTCATTAGTTCAGTCACGCATATGCAGAACAGATGAGGCCTTTCATTTGCTTTCAGCTGCTCAGAACACGAGTGAATTTAAATTAGTGTGGAAATTTTTACTTTGAAGATGCATGACTATTCAGAAATGTTAAAGGAACACTCCACTATTTTTGAAAATAGGCTCATTTTCCAACTCCCCTAGAGTTAAACAGTTGAGTTTTACCGTTTTCGAATCCATTCAGCTGATCTCCGGGTCTGGCAGTAGCACTTTTAGCTGTAGCTTAGCATAGATCATTGAATCTGATTAGACCGTTAGCATCTCGCTCAAAAATGACCTAGAAAATCGCAACTTTTCAGTTTCTGTTGGTCTTAGTACACGATGTAACTATAGATGAGTCAAGTTTTAAATATGAAAAATATAGAAACTCTTTGGTAATTTGAGCGAGATGCTAATGGAAACATGTAAACTACTACTTACAAAACAGTTTTCAACACTGATAATAGTAAAAATTCTGCTTTGTAATCACAGGAATAAATTGCATTTCAAAATGTATTCAAATTCAAACAGTTATTTTAATTGTAATAACAGTTTATCACAGTAAGAACTTAATTGTTCTGTTTCAGTTCACTAGAACAGTGTGACTTTGTGCTACATTACCATGGCACTAGTTTCCCATCAACCTCATTTAAAGAGTGCCATGGGATGCCATCTGTCTGACTGGTAGCATAGTGTAATGTAGTCCAACATCACCAATTTGGCTTCCACTGTGTGCTAGGTTATAGGCTTTTATTTTTTTTAATTTTGGATGTTTTATAGTAAAGTGTAATGTACAGTAAGCAGAAAAGTAGGGACTCAAAGCAGCTCATAGGCATACTACGGTTATAAACTATGAAATGCATTTTCCCATTTCCATTTGATTCAACATCAGTAACATTTTCTAAAATAATAGACCTTTTGTAATTATTTTTTGTCCACTAATTTGCAATAACAACATCATAGAATGGGTCACATAGTTTAGCAAAACTCACAAAGTTTCTATTTTGCTCTTTGTGTGGTAGCTATGACCTGGGAATGGAGACCCGTGATGCCACTGATGACAAGGTAACTGTTGAGGCAGCGGAGGCTGTGAGGCGCTACAACGTTGGCATCAAGTGTGCCACCATCACTCCTGACGAGAAGCGCGTGGAGGAGTTCAAGCTCAAGAAGATGTGGCGCTCTCCCAATGGAACAATCCGGAACATCCTGGGTGGCACTGTGTTCCGAGAGGCTATTATCTGCAAAAACATTCCCCGCTTGGTTCCCGGCTGGATCAAGCCTATAATTATCGGCAGGCACGCACATGGAGACCAGGTGAGGAGCTCTTACTCATTAGAATATCTGTAATTAAGCCTAATTGTGAATTTGTTCTGGGTTGTTTGTGTCTTTTATCATACTTTCTGCTGTTTTATCAAAGTTCACATTATACCTAAGCAATCATTCTTTAATATTGGTGAAATCACATTACAGGTACAAGGTCTCCTGAGATAATCTGTCCTTTTCGATTTTAACAGTACAAGGCCACAGATTTCGTTGTTCCCGGTCCTGGAACAGTGGAAATGACATACACACCTAAAAATGGAGGAGAGCCACTCAAGTTTGTTGTCCATGACTTTGAAGGTAGCCTACACTGATTCAAAATTTCAATTGGAAGTAGTAAGTCATAGATTTTGCATACTATTTTATGAGCACTGTGAATTCGGACATACTATTCTTTTCACATACTGTTTTGCACCTACTTTATAGTCAGGAAGTATGTGATTTTGAATGCAGCCCATCTGTATGGCAAAGATCTCTATCTGTCTCTGTATGGTGATGTCATCACAGAGCATTGAGCATGTTTGTCTTGTCAGTGTTACAGTATGAGGCCACATGGCCAGATTAACACTGTCCCGGCTCTGATTTGATGTTTGATTTGAAATTATTGGAACATAGCCTAGTTGTTTCTAAGTAGAACTGGCACAAGCATATCATTTTTTAGACCAGGTTTTCCTGACAGTATGTGTGATTATGTATGTTTAGGTACTGGTGGAGTTGCTCTGGGGATGTACAACACAGACAACTCAATCCGGGATTTTGCTCACAGCTCTTTGCAGATGGGGTTGAACAAAGGCTGGCCGGTGTACCTCAGCACCAAGAACACCATCTTGAAGAAATATGATGGCCGTTTCAAAGACATTTTCCAGGAGATCTATGACAAGTGAGTCCTCAATTGAAATGGGTGTTTTATGAACTGTCACTGAATAAATTCCCCATGGTAATCAATCTAGTTACACAGGGTTTTTTTGAACGAAAGAAAATGAGTTAAAAACCACCTGTTATAAATTTCATTTTACAGTCTTACATGTAAATCACTAAAAAAAATTGCCTTAAAAGATTTTCTGGCATCAAAGTATAAACATCATAATCCCATATGCCCACATTGCATAAGATGAAACAATGAAAAGTAAATGATGATTTAATCATGATAAAAGAGCATTCTGACACGGTGTGTGTGTGTGTTGCAGAGACTACAAGGCTCAGTATGAGGCCAAAGGCATCTGGTATGAGCATCGGCTGATTGATGACATGGTGGCTCAGGCCATGAAGTCTGAAGGTGGGTTTATCTGGGCCTGCAAGAACTATGATGGAGATGTGCAGTCAGACTCTGTAGCTCAGGGTGAGTAAATCTGCAGTAAAATTACAATTGATAATCATCTTTTGCTTCCCACCAATGCCAAAACTTTGTCTGAAAACAGTTACCTGAATTAATTGTTTAGCATTGAACACACACATGGCGGATAAGCTCAATGTATACTACTGTTCAAAAGTAATAAGATTTATTTCATATAAGTATTTATCCATTTATTTATTTATTTTTAATTAATGCTTTATCCAGTATATTAAAATAGAAAATATACAGTTGGAATATTACAGTTATTACTGTATTTTGATCAAATAAATGAAGCCCTGGTGAGCATTATAACTTTTTTTGTGTGGTAGTGTATGGTTGTGTTAAAATGTCTGCATGTTTTCGTGGTGCTTAGTGTGAATCTGCTTTAAAGGATTAGCTCACTTCCAGAATAAACATTTCCTGATAATTTACTCACCCCTATGTCATACAAGATGTTCATATCTTTCTTTCTTCAGTCGAAAAGAAATTAAGGTTTTTGAAGAGAACATTCCAATATTTTTCTCTATATAGTGGACTTCAGTGGGAGACAACAGGTTGAAGGTTTAAATTGCTGTTTCAGTGCAGCTTCAAAGGGCTCTACATGATCCCAGCCGAGGAATAAGGGTCTTCTGTAGCGAAATTTTTTCAAAATGAAAAAAATAAAAATAGTCAACCTTTTGAAGTGGATCAAAAAAGGTTAACCAAAGTTGTTCTAAGACAAGAACGCATTTTGGTTTTAGGACAACTTTGATGAAAGGTTTTGATCCACTTCAAATGTTGACTACTGTATACTTATATGGTGTTTATAATGTGAACGTGCAAAGAAAGTCAAAAGCCCTTCACAAAAAAAGGTAAAACAACAATATTGGATGATTTTGAAGTTGGAGGAGAAAATTAGATTTTTTTTCGCCCTACCCTACCTTTTTGAACCAGACTACACAGATGAAGAATTAGCCACACGTGACCATTCCAACGTGATTACCTAGTGTGTGAAGGCGCACTAGTGCAAGATGAGCATTTGTGGTTAAAAAGTATATACATTTTTATTTTTTTAGAAAATGGCTGATCGTTTTGCTAGATGAGCCCTTTGAAGCTGCATTGAAACTGCAATTTAAACCTTCCACCTGTTGTCTCCCATTGAAGTCCACTATATGGAGAAAGATCCTGGAATGTTTTCCTTAAAACACCCTTAATTTCTTTTCGACCGAAGAAAGAAAGACATGAACATCTTGGATGACATGGGGGTGAGTAAATTATCAGGAAATTTTTATTCTGGAAGTGTACTAATCTTTAATGCACTTAACGGACACGTGTACGCAGCGGCCATTGTAAGTCCTCAAGACCGAAAGTGCACATGAAGTGTGCCATTTGGGACAGGGCCATTGCTACGCCTGTAGACGGTGTCAAGTGACGTTGAATCACTGAGAAGTCATTGAATCATTGACTTAACCGATTCATTTAAAACACTGACTCCTTCAGAAACCAATCGCCGCTGCTGTGTGTTCCTTGGAGACATAGGCTACGTTTACACTAGTGTGCTTTCGTTTTGTATGAACTTTTTTCTGTTTATTTTTTCACAGTGTCGCACGCTCTGATTACCTCAACACTTTTGAGTTCTTGGACAAGCTGGCTGAGAATCTGAAGATTAAGTTGTCAAGCCAACCCAAACTATAAAGCTGCTGGGTGTTGACAGGGCGTTCTCACACACACACACACACACACACACACACACACTCTGACACTCAACTCACTGTAAAAGTATTCTGAAAGAATTCTGAAATTTATAGTGAGTAAACTTTCTGTTTCTAGGTTATGGGTCATTGGGTATGATGACCAGTGTGCTTATATGTCCTGACGGACGTACAGTAGAAGCTGAGGCAGCCCATGGCACCGTTACGCGTCACTATCGCATGCACGAGCAGGGCAAAGAGACGTCCACCAACCCTATTGGTGAGGAAAACTCACTTACTTCACTACCACTCTTAATCAATAAAATCCACAAATGAGGCACAGGAAACTGTTTTTCATTATATTTTATGTCCCATCAGCCTCTATCTTTGCATGGACACGAGGGCTGCTGCACCGGGCGGAGCTGGATAAGAACGCAGAGCTGCGGATGTTTGCTGAGGCACTGGAGGCCGTTTGTATCGAGACCATTGAAGCTGGTTTCATGACCAAGGACCTGGCCATCTGCATCAAGGGCATGTCTAGGTACATCCATTCTCTTGCTCTAAAACATTTGGTATTTATTGAGGGACATTAAAAAGATATTTGTTTTTATCAATTGGAGTGGGGTTAGATTTACAATAGACCGCATCAGTGTTAAATGCTTGATAAAAGTATAGCAACAAGACTTTATTAACCTGTGTAAAGTTATTTTAGATTTTATGTATGAACTTTTTTCTGTTTATTTTTTCACAGTGTCGCACGCTCTGATTACCTCAACACTTTTGAGTTCTTGGACAAGCTGGCTGAGAATCTGAAGATTAAGTTGTCAAGCCAACCCAAACTATAAAGCTGCTGGGTGTTGACAGGGCGTTCTCACACACACACACACACACACACACACACACACTCTGACACTCAACCCTCAGTCTCATTTCCTGTCTAACTGGGAGCAAAGACAGAGAAATGATTGACTTCACCACTACAACCAGTAGGGGGAGCCATGCACTTTCAACTGGACGACGAAAGTGCCCTTTTAAATGGCAGGAGCCACTGTAACTTTCATTATGCTTTTAAAAACAAATTAGAAACATTCATATAGTAAATTATATCACCGTTTATACATTTTTATCATTGCAACAGTTATTTTCTTTGAAAGATATATTCCCTGTAGTGCATAAATGCGTATTTGTGTGCTACTGCTATCTCTCAGATGCTTGAACACCTGTTGCCTTATTGTCTGCGTGTGTAGTTGTCTTGTCTTCGGACAGCCACTCTCGAAGCCGTCCCAGGAACAGTGGAATTAGGTCTTAATAATGTAAATACCTGCTTTTAACTGAAATACTGGTAGTTCATACTGGTAGACATTCCTGTTCATTCTTCACTCAGTACAACTGTCTGTCAATGCATTACAAATTAATTTCCTTACATGGTTCTGTTTATGTCAGTCTGTGTGCTTCTGTCATCAGGTCTTGTGTTATTATGACATCAATAATAAACGAGACTTTTTAAGAAGAATATCTCCTATGTTTTGACACTGATCATGCGTTACTATGTTTATAATGTTTAAAAGATCTCTATTTAAAATCAGTGCTGTTCTTTTAAGCTTTATATTTTTCAAAGAATCTTGAATTACCATTTCCACAAAATATTACAGTACAACTGTTTGCAACATTGATAGTCAGCGGTCACCAAATCGGCATCACAATTTCCACAAAAATATTAAGCAGTACAACCGTTTCCAACATTGAGGATAATCAACAATCACCCAAGTCAGCATTAGAATGATTTTTTTTAAAGGATCATGAAAATTCTACTTTGCCATCACAGGAATAAATTAGATTTTTTAATATATTAAAACAGAACACTGTTACTTAAAAAAATATTTCACAATATTATTGGTTTTATTTTACCGATCCCAAAATTTTGAACAGTAGTATAGTAGATTATATACAAATCATTTTGAACTTGATGAAACAATATTGCGGTGTCTAGTTGCCCGATTAAATCATAATGTTGTCACTTGAGGAGGTTCACACTTCATGCACTAGATGCCAGCACAATGATGTCAAGACGGACAGCCTTTTAAACGGAGCCTGAAAGTTTTTATAGCGAATAACACAACAACGGAGAGTTTCTAATTAATTCTTTTCATTTATATTACTATTAAACATGAGATGTTTCATATATTTATTTGGATAAGGTTTGGAATCAGTAGGCCTATTTGAAGGGAAAGTAAATCAAAACATGAAAAACATTGTAAAATGAACGTGACTTCCACCAAGCGGCCTGAAAATGATTAGAGTATGTCTGAGCACCAAACAGTCTGAACTCAGACTTATACCTACACTTAAGTGTTCTTGACTTTATTAGATATCTGTGACAATGGTTTACCCCAGAGAGAGAGAGTGAGAGGGAGGGAGAGAGAGAGAGAGAGGGAGAGAGATCATGCCTCAGACTGTCACCATTGTGCCATGATAATTGCATTCTCCCTGTGTGAATGGACACTCATTCACGGGCTTTGTTAGAGTAAAGATTACTATTGTGCTGCAGGAAGTAAAGCCTTATGAATATGAAATAGAGGCCAGTGGTGATTCCGACGTTAATGACGTAAAACAAGCACAAGCTGAGGTCACTAAAGGCCACTGCTATTCAAACCCCAAATATTTCATTGGGCAATTCAACTACGCATTACCTGTTAAGAAAAGTTCAGATTTTATGGATTTAGTTAAGAAAAATCAGAGACATGGATCCCACTGCGACAGTAATAATGCTGTCTATCGGTATGTGCAACCAACGATATATGTGATAGACATGACCAATGAATTCTTTATTTGCCGATGTTTCACGATAATATAGGCCTTTAGGATAGCTATATATTTTTATATTTTTTTATTTAATTTTAATGAATAACTGTATATTCATTTCAAAATATACAAAAAAATACATTTCTAATATAGAGTTTACATAAATATCTTTTTGATGTGCTTTACTTAAATGTCTTAATAAATTTTTCTGGCTATTTTGTAATATATTTTAAATGTAGGCCTATTTATATTGTTCAAAATATATTTACAAAAATATATATCAAATTATATACAAACATCAAAACTGCATTATTTGCACCAAGCACACCATGACTCTTCAGAACCTTAGGAAGGACATGTACATTGAAAATTAATAAACAGATGAATGATTGAGATATGGCTTGATGTTGTCTCAGTCTCTCTCTGTCTGAGAGCGCACCTTACCCCTGTAGGGAAAGCAGTGGTTTCCATGGGGACGCATAGCCACTCTACTCTTCAAAAGCGGGCCGAGCAGAGGCAGAGGGGCCCTTTGTGTTGGAGAGGAAAGCGTGGAACAACGCTGGGCAGATGAAAGCCCTGCTATCCTTATGTCCAATCATAATTTAGTCATCAGCGCAGGAGCACAGAATCCAAATAGACACTGAAAACACAAACAGCGAAAAGGAGAGGCTCATGGGTCAAGATTTGAGCAAGAGAGAGAGATGGGAGGCTGATATGAGGATACATTTCAAAGAGATAAAGGAATAGTTGTGCTGTGGCTCAGACTTGTTTTTTCATGCTGATGATCAATTCTCTGTGCTGTAGTTTGTGCTGAAATGATGCCGCCCACTTTCATCCAATTTGAGAAAATTATGATGCATCAACATTGTTTAAACTAAAAATAGCAACCTTGTTTATCAGGACATACTTCTTTGTCTATACACAGAGTAGGAGTAGGAGAGGAGTAGATGTGGGCTTGGCTGATAGATTTGTTTACTTGTAAAATTCATTATTAATTAAAAGTAATATGTAAACATTATTAAATCATTACAAGTACAATCCATAACTGCTTATAACATAGCAGCAGACTTATGGGGGTAGTGCAACAACCAAAGCCTTAGAAGAGCAACAAGATGTACATATAGTATGACTGTGTTAGTTATGATAAAGCCCAACAAAACTGTTAATAAATTAGAAATACACCACCAATCGAAAGTTTGGGGTCAGTAAGAATTTCTATGTCCACCAATGCTTCATTTATTTGGTCAAAACATATTTAAAATAGTAATATTGTGAAATATTATTACAATTTAAAATACATCTTTTCTGTTTCAGTATTTAAATTGTGTTTTTCCTGTAATTGCTACCTACACTTTTTTTCCAACCATTGCTCCAGTCTTCAGTGTCACATAATCCTTCAGAAATCAATGCTGATTTAATGCTAAAGAAACATTTCTTATCATACATTGTGGAAAGAGTTGTTCTGCTCAGTGAAGTGTGCAAACTGGAATAAAGTGTCTTTTTCAGGACTATTTGATGGACAGAAAGTTTAAAGAGCAGCATTTGGTTGGAACGGTAATATTTTGTATCATTATGCCTTTACCATCACTTTCAGATCATTGAATTTTGAACAGTAGATTAAGAGCTCCATTCCAATAAACTGATCAAAATAAAACAACCAAAATGGTGTAAAATCTATGATAAAATTACTTAAATGAAGGGCAACAACATCTGTCATAAGATATGAGATGAAGTGGCACTAGCTAAGTGGACTAACATTTCAAACAGTTGCTGCCATTTGTCAAGGTTAACAAGGTTAGCATTTCAACACTGTTTGCTGTGTCCTTTTTAAAAAATATATTATTTTCTCCTCCCTCTCTACATGTGACTTACAGCAGCCCAGCCTGTCCAATTGCTGACTCTCTTAAATGTCTCAGAACAGCATAAAAACGCTAGAAAAAGAATGGGGAAAGAAACTCTTGAGTCTTCTGTGGCAAATAAGCATTCTGCACGGGTTCTGATGAGGGTCTATGTAGGTCACGCACAATATGGCGCCTGCAAGTTTACAGCTGGGGCTCGTACCACCATTATCCCACAACAATATTGCAGAGAGGAACTTATTTGAGCCCATTAGTCCATGTCCCCTCCTCCTTCATTAACGAAGCCTTTCTTTAAACAAGCCAAGACAATAAGCTCTCAGAAAGGGTGGCGGGGGGAGAATAGGAGGACTGGAGGGGAGGTCGCAGGTTTAGCCCGGAGCCCACGATAATTACTGTGTTTCTGTCTGTGGCCTGAAAAAGACTTGAATAATGTTTCTTTTTCTGTGGGGACCCGAACAATAGATGCAGGCCTGGCTTCAAGAACGGCAAGCTTTGGGCTATTGGCTACAAAAAATCTCATCTTTGCCTCTCACGCCGAACCTCTTGGCTTCATTATCGAACAAAGTCTTCACGTCAACCACAATTTGCACATTAAGAATGCATAGATCTTTTATGCAGTTAGACTTCTTTTGTCAGAATTTGTATGGCAACTCCTTCCAGGCCCACGTGGGTTGCTAATGACTGTGATATGTGTGCAGTTGGTGTGTGTGTGTTTGTCAGAGGAAAGATTGAAAAAAAAAGTCTCTACAGAATTACAGTGCAGCTATAAGATGATTGTATACACTCATACACAACAACAACTCATGTCTTATTCAGTATGTATCACTGCTATTGATCGTAATGGAAGCTTGGTCGCATGATGTCGGGAAGCATAATGTTGTTGGGTAAGATGAACAGTGTTATTTTGCAAACCTTGCAGATTTTGTTATGACTTTTAATACCCCTCCTTTTATAACAATTCTGTAAAGAAGGAGAACAATTTAATATATATCTTCACTTGAGTAGCCTTAATCTGAAGAATTTTTTTTTTTTTTTTTTAAAGGTACTGTGGTGGCACCATGATGCTGGGCTGGAGTGTCAAAAACACCATGATAATGAAATATTATGTCCATTAATTTATGTGGTAGTCCACGATACATTAAATAATACCACGATACTATTCGCAATATATCATTTTTAATAATGACATAAAATGAATTAAGTGCATGAGAAAATAATTTAATAAATAAACAAAGGCAGTCGGAACCATTTATCGCAGGAGGTTGTTTCACCCGGTGCGCATTTCCGCTGACGGAACTGAATGTGACAGATTGTAAACAGATGCGGGTGAGTCATTTTCACGTAGAAATAACATATTATTCGCTCTTTGCATGCTTAGACTTTTTATTATAGTGATTCTCCGATTGTCAATGATACATAAACATGTTACATTCGCTGTGAGTTAAACACAATCAGATGGCACAATTGTCAGTGGCAGATGATGTAGCGGAGTGCTAACTAGCATCATGGTGAAGTCATCGGCTGAATTCATAGAAGCAGCGACTTGTAAATAAAAACACAATCTCTGTCAGAAGAGGGGCACACCTAGGTATTAGAGTTTGTTCGTCGTCTTTTTTACGTCTGTTCTCGTAGATCTTGTAGCTTGTTTGTGTGTGTCAGCTGCACTTGGGTGAACTGCCAGTCCGCATCAACTTACAGTAGTAATATTATTCAGGATTCTTGTCGATTTAAACGTTATCTATAGTTTTTATTCCGTGAAGAACGCCTGGTGTTAACAGTCAGCATTGAATTGCTGAAATAAGGGCTCATCGCTCTGTTTGTCAAGTCAAGTTAAGTTACATTTGATCAGATGGCACAATTGTCATTGGCAGATGATGTAGCGGAGTGCTAACTAGCATCATGGTGAAGTCATCGGCTGAATTCATAGAAGCAGCGACTTGTAAATAAAAACACAATCTCTGTCAGAAGAGGGGCACACCTAGGTATTAGAGTTTGTTCGTCGTCTTTTTTACGTCTGTTCTCGTAGATCTTGTAGCTTGTTTGTGTGTGTCAGCTGCACTTGGGTGAACTGCCAGTCCGCATCAACTTACAGTAGTAATATTATTCAGGATTCTTGTCGATTTAAACGTTATCTATAGTTTTTATTCCGTGAAGAACGCCTGGTGTTAACAGTCAGCATTGAATTGCTGAAATAAGGGCTCATCGCTCTGTTTGTCAAGTCAAGTTAAGTTACATTTGTTTATATAACTCTTTATACAACACAAAGCAGCTTCACAGTGAAAAACTGAAAAGTAACATTGTTAATTTTTCAAAATGTGTCAATTTTAATTAAGCTATAATGTAGTTTTGCAAAAGGCAACAGTGTTATTATTCAGCAAATATACAGCCCAATTCATATTAATATACGGTTTTGTTCTCATCTGATAGTCTTAGTGCAGTCAAATTGATAATATTTCCTGAATGTCTTTCAAAACCCAACTGAGTGAGCAAGCCAAAAGCAACAGTGACAAAGAACCAAAAATCCATCTGGTGACAGCAGTGAAGAAAAAACAAGACTTTTGTCTTACAACATCTTGCAAATAGCAAATGCTATATATATAGTTTTTTTTGTAGATTTACCAGTGATTGTATTCTTTGAAGATGGTATCATTCGAATCTGATACCACAGTACTGTTATTGTAACAGGTCAAAAGATAAGCAGTGTAGGTTACTGACCAGGGTGACTTGTCATGTGTTTCCTCTCAGTCAGATCTATGATATAATATGATTTTTATAATATGATTTCATGTTCCGGGATGATGACACATAATTTTTTGCTCATCACAGTATAACCTTTATTCTTTGTAGCAATAACTTGAATATATTGTATAAAATGGCATCTAAGAGTGTGCAGATCTATTCCGCTGTTTTCACTTTAGGATTCTCACACACTACTTGCTGGCTGTAACTTTGCTTTGTCACTGCCTCAGTGTGGAGATTGATATTTGCTGTGAGATGGCTAAAAATAGAATGGTAGAGAAGGGCCTCCACGTCTCTGTCTGAATAATTTGTTTAGGCAGAGGTGTGAGCATCACCGGCTCAGGTTTTTAACTGTAGCAGATCTGGTTCTTAAGGCTGGCTGCTGCTCTCCAGAAAACTGTCCAAAAACGGCTTTGACTGTTTTAAAGGGATCTGTTGTCATTTACTTTGGTGCCCATTGATTTCCATTGTATGGACAACAAACACTGAGACTTAACTCAAGATTGCTTCTTATTTGCTTCACAGAAGTTATACAGGTTTGGAACGACATAATGGTGAGTGAATGATGAGAGAATTTATATTTTTGGAGAACTATTCCTTTAAGGATTGATAGTCATTTTTTTTGGTGTCATTTTGAGAGCAGTTTTACTGACTCAATGGAAAACAGCTGTCTGTTGGTCTCGCTTCTTTGTTTCTCTATTTTTCCCATGGGTCTGGAGAGTCTCTGATCTGAGATGATGTAATGGTCTTTTAATAATTGATGGTTTAAAGAAAGTGAAAGACCCTGAGCTGGAGTGCAGAGGAAATCAATGTTAGTGTGGGAGGAGGTAGACATGAGTAAGATGAGAAGAGGCTGCAAGATCATGTGAAACGAAAACAGAAAGAAGCCGTGCTCAGGTTTAGCGAGGCAGGGAACCCCACCCCAAGCTGGAAACTTCCAGTGATGATGTTGGTTTGTCTGCGTACTGAAGCTCTGGAGCGTAAGGTAGGCTGCTGAGTGGATTCCACGACCACCATGGTAGCAAGAAATTAACGGTGCCTTACTATGAGTGTTAACACAGGTCAAGGTAAGTTGAGTTCAGCTGCTGAATCTGTAGCTCTGTTCCAAAAGATAGCGAGCTGCCTACCTCTGCAGCATTTTATGGCATTGTTTCAGAAGCCATACCAATAGGAAGCAGCATCATGGGCCATTCACACAGAACATGTTTTTGTGTAAGATGCAGTGGAATGGAAAAGAACACATGCTCTTGATTTACACAGCTTTACTTTACACAGAAGTTTATTTGCAAGATGTTTAAAAATGGCAAGATGTGATGCAACCGAGAAAGTTGTCTGTCTAGTTAAATTTTTTTGTAGAAAATGCAAATGGAACCTCATCTGAATTCCAATATGTAGGTACAACATTTGATAAGAATCGAACTTTGCAACCATTAAATAAGTTTTTTTTGGTGGTAATGTGTGTAGTATGAATGTAATCTAGATGTACTACTTTTTGTCATGTTGTCACTCTCACGTAACCTACCTGTGTCACTTCCCTGCCATTCACAACTCCACTCCACTGGCCTCATGGAATAGTAAAGTGTCCACTGGATGTGCATTTTGAAATTTCAGCAGAAGTAGTAGGTCATCCGGAGATTTTTGATATAAATATTGTGAATTTGTACACAATTGTGTGGTGTGCAAAATCAGTCATTTAGAATCTTCCATTTAATTTAGGATGCCACCTTAGAAGGCAACTGTCTATATTGGTGGTAGACCTTTTTTTTTTTTTTAATTGCTTGCTTTTATTGTTTTTTTTTTGGCCTCAACTGTTTTACAATTCCTGTTGTCATACTTTTTGCTCAAAGGCTTGTCATACTAGAGCATCAGCTGTCCATGGAGTTACTGCTGTATTTGCTGACCTTCATGTACTTTTCTCTCTTGTTTGTCTAAATTCAGGATGTCGGGCCCTGGGGAAGGACGTCCTGGTGCCACATTGCATTTATCACTCACTGAATTGCTGCCTTACAGACTGCAGTGATTTAATTGAGGCACTCATCTGAATGAGGCAACACCTGTTCTAGACAGCACTGTTTGCACTCACCTTACCCAGTGCTGATACTGATAGCTGGCACAGCGGTCAGTTCTCATTAGGTTCTTGATTAACAACATTGGCTCATAAAGTGTCAGTTCTGGAAGGGGTTCAGGCCTTTGTGGACCATCTGTTTTGCTACACTTCCTTTTGGATTCAGACAGCAGATGTTCCGTCTGCGGTGCCCTCAGGCCTTACGATCCTGCCGTGTCTTCCCTCACACACGTAAGGAAACAGTCCGTTTGCTCCACCCCTCCGCTTCCTCTGTGACGCCGAAACTGTCAAGGTGATGGAGGGTCTGGAGGTTGAGGACATAAGCCCCGCCCTCGAGGCCACTGAGGACTACTTGCACTGCCTCGATGACAATCAAGGAGATTGCCAGGTACGTCCGCCCAAGCTTAAAGAGGCCTCCACCTTGGACAAGTTGAACTCCAGTGGGGTGTGGGGGCTACTGACAGGAAAGCAATCTGAAATATCACCCAAAAATATGGCCTGGGCGGAGCAGTCATCTTTCACTGTGCTGGGCCTGCGACATGGAAAAAGGAACCGGGCACGATCCACCAACGATTTGGCGGCTCATGCCAAAGAGACGAACTCCACCACCAATACATCCAGCGGCGGCTTCAAGCGTGGCCACAACCGCTCCCGTTCAGACGTCAACAACCGCACTTACACCGATAATGGCATGCCTGCCATTGACAAAAATACACTCAAGAACATGGCACTGAACGACCACAGAGATGGTAAGAATGAACTAAACAGTATTTATTGTTTTTATTCATCATTTATACATTTATTTTGCATTGATGTGTGGTGCAAAGATCAAACAAGTTCAATCAAATCTCATTCAAAACCAGGTGTTTCACTTAAATGATTCTGTCTACACTCAAAGTGAAAATGCTAAGTGATGCCACATAATCACAGCCAATCAGAACTTTATTCATATTTAATAGAGTGCAACAGTGCCATCCACTTTTTCAGCAGAAGTATTCTTCTGTTATTTTTCCAACAGGGATTTGAAAAAAAAATGTTAGTTAAAAAGTTGTAAACCATGAACCAGGTAAGAGGTGAAGCACAGCATTACAAACTTTAAAGCAAATGTTTTTGAAAATTAGAGTTTTAATGAGGGAAAGAACTACAATCCAGTTAAATATTGTAAATTACATAAATAAAAAAGTGGAAGTGAATGGGCGCTAAAGAGATTCTTTGATAGTCGACAATTTCTTTGCATAATGATGGCTAATGTAGTTTTTCATCAGGAATTCCACTGTTAAACCGTTATTAAAAAACTAAGTTGAAATAATGTGGGCTGATGGCTTCAACAAAAGGCTATACCATTGGTTAACATACTCATTGCTCACAGTAGTGCTGCAAGTTATTGTTAAAATCAGTTCCTCCATGGAGAAAATGAGTGGGATTTTTACTTCTGGAAATTAACTCTCACACTTTATATACAGTTGCATTAAGTAGAACTTTGAACCAATCAGATTTCACTCTCATGAATAGGACAAAACTCAACATGGAAAGAAAAAACAATTTACTTGCTAAAATGATGAAATTATTTCACTACTGTGTACACTTTTTATTAACATGTCACATGGTGTTGTAGCTTTTATCTCCTCACACCTGTGATCTGTTGTGTCTGCGTCTCTGTCAACACTGCTCACCTGCAGTCTTTGCAGGAATCACCTCCTTTTATGTCGAGGGGGTTCAATGAGTTTTGGCTTACTTACGGTTTGGCCTGTTTGTTCTTTTCTGTGTGTTTTCGTCTGAAAGGCTTTATTTAGACAAGGTTATCCCAGAACAAGAACAGTAGAGATCTAGTGCAATATTACGATTAACATGCTTGCTATGATTTAATACAATACATATTCACCAATACAAACTGCCACATTGTTTTAAAGCTTTTTATATCCAGTGTAGTCTGGTTTAATTCTGTATTAACTCATTTTGAAAAGGCTGATTTATTTCTACATCCAGTAAATCAGCACTAGGTTTTGCAAAATGGCAGGTGATACCAATCCTCTTGGCTGTCCTTGCCTCTGTGTTAAAACTTAATGGGGTAAATTGTTAATTACAGAAATGTACTTCTGTAAGGGAGCAACTGGAAATAGAAGTAAGTTCCACGCTCAAATGCCCACCGTTTCTTGAGTGACTGAGATTGAATCCTAGGTGACATTAAGATATTGGCGACCCACCCAGTGTCTAATGCTGATAGATCTACTGATTAAGACTGGAGAACCCCCTACACCCCTCACTGCACAGGTCTCAGTGTTTGCGTTATGCTTGACTTGGCTCTGTAGTTCATTACAAGTGTCAATTTTAATATAGTTTGCTTTGTTTTATGCTTAGTCTTCAACATCTAAATTTTTAACTCGGGATGTATTCACACCAGGAAAGTCTGCTAGTTTACTTGCTTTTGTCCGGACCAAATACAATGTTGATTATTTTATTATATTTTTTTAGTGTTTCGCATTCACACTGTCCTTTTCGCAAGTGGGCCAGAAATTGTAAACAAAACCACATGTGTGCTAAGGTCATCAATTCATTGGTTCATCCATTCAACCGTACCAGAGTTAGTTTGGAACCGGACCGATACCACCTCTTCAGCTGGGTCTCGGTACGGTTGTTTGGTCTGAATCCGACAGGGTTGCCAAGTACCAGAAAAATTTCCAGCCCAAATCTTACTCAAAACCCGCCCAAAAGGAATTAAAATTAGCCCAATTTTTGCCCTGTCCAATCATAGCTGACAGCAGCTTTATTCCATTAATGTCCTTTAAAATAAACATTTAGATTTGATTTATTCTATGTTTTGAATCTTAGCAAGACTTGTTTATATGTAGTATGCGCATATGAAATTATTTAATCTGTATTTAATTTTTTTATTTTACACTTTCTTTCATTTTAATTTTCAGCACTTTTTCATAATAAAACTTAAAATGACACTCTAAAAAATGCTGGGTTAAATACTTCCCAGTGCTGGGTGAAATATAGATGAAACCAGCAATTGGGTTGTTTTGACCCAGCGGTTGGGTTAAATGTTTAACCCAACATTCTGGGTAGTAACCCAACCGCTGGGTCAAAACAACCCAATTGCTGGGTTCGTCTATATTTCACCCAGCACTGGGAAGTATTTAACCCAGCATTTTGTTAGAGTGTAGGACTGGGTGATATGTCCACAAATAGGTATGACTATTTTTTCCATATCATATCAATAATATTTATCAGAATATTCATTTACCATTATTATGGAAGGAAATGCTTTGGGAATGCATATAAACACACACACAATTATTATTATTATTATTACACTCTAAAAAATGCTGGGTTAAATACAACCCAGCGCTGTGTAAAATGTGGACAAACCCAGCGACTGGGTTGTTTTGACCTAGCTGTGTCACGTGGATACATTGTTTTCGTTCAAATAAAAAATGTGACGCAGCTGACACAGCTGAACAGCATACTGCTGTTTATGTTCAGTGGATATTCTCCAATATGGCACCAAGGTGATGCGGAAAAGACAAATTGTTGAATTAAGTCGTTATTTTTGTTTTCCTAGCATACAAAAAGTATTCTTTCATTTACCATTATTATGGAAGGAAATGCTTTGGGAATGCATATAAACACACGCACAATTATTATTATTACACTCTAAAAAATGCTGGGTTAAATACAACCCAGTGCTGGGTAAAATGTGGACAAACCCAGCGACTGGGTTGTTTTGACCCAGCGGTTGGGTTACTGCCTAGAAGGTTGGGTTAAACATTTAACCCAACTGTTGGTTGAAAACAACCCAATCTCTGGGTTTGTCCATATTTTACTCAGCGCTGGGTTGTATTTAACCCAGCATTTTTTAGAGTGTAGTAGTATTTTTTTTTTCATAAATTCTTTCAAGCCAACTTTTAATTTAGGGTCCCATGAAATTCACTTTATTTTTTTCCCTAGATTCTGTGTTTACCATTTTATTTATTTTGTGTTTTATAATTTATTTTGTGTGATTTATAAAAATATATCATATAAAATCCTGTCTAAAAACATTAAACATTTAATCAATCTTTTAAAATAAAATAAAATATAATATAATATATAACAATTATGCTTTATATAAATAAGTCCCATTAAAACTGACTAGTTTGGCCTTTAAAAATGTCCAGATGGCTTTCACTCAGCTCCATTCTGGCCCACTGTTTGTATCTGTCTGCGTTTTTCCTCTTCTGCTCAGATTTTGAGTCAGGGTCTTAGAAAGGGTCAGCCTCTGCAGGCAGACTGGCCTTCCACCAGCTCTCTAATTGGGTCATGTCAGCACGCCTCACGTCCTCTCTGCCGTGAAATTAGTAGTGAGTCTCTTTCCGTAGCTGCAAGCTATGCACCTTTGAAGACCTCAGAGTGCAAGGAACCCCCAAACATCCACAATGATGCTCCAGAGTGGCAAAGCACATCATCTGTGGTAACTTTTGCTGGCTACCCAAATGAACCCAACCCTCAGAGCTCACAGCTTATCAGCACAAGAGGGAGGGACTGTCCGTTATAAGTTACAGATGTATAGGAAGGTGCAGGTTTGACTGGTACATTAGAGATAAGACTTAAAGAAAACAATACAGAGGCATTTGCTTTTAATTTACCCTCCTCCTGGCCTTTCTTTTGGTCTGGCCAGGCCCAAATGCCCGGGGCACCCAGCAGGTCCCCGAGGGCTGAGAGGAAAACGGGCAGTTTCCAGCCAAGGAAGTGTAAGGATGAGGGGTGTTGTGGATCAAGAGAGGAAAGGAGATAAAGGAGGGAGTATGTTTAAGAAATGGGCAGAGAAAGGAAGGACTGAAAAGGAGTTCCAAAGATTAGGGGGTCACTCTTTGCCGTTTTGTTTGCACAGCAGCCTGACACACAATAATGTTTCTTCCTGCTTTGAGGTGGCTGGATAGACTGCTATCACATAGCACAATAGCATCCATCATAAATGATGTGAACATCTCTCACACAGGGCTCCAGACTAACATGGTGCCAGTAAGTTCTGCAAAAGGAGGTAGTAGTGACAGGGTGATGGGCATATAAAATTGAAATTAATAATTAATTTATATATAGCAATATTTGGACAGAAAATGTTTTCTCTAGTTACTAAGGTATTTCACATGCATATTTTCTAACTTTATAATTCTCTCACACAACCTCTGCTAATTTAAATGTTTTTTCCCCCTCCTTTTTCTTGGTAAATGGCTAATATATATACAAACCCAATTCCAAAAAAGTTGGGACACTGTACAAATTGTGAGTAAAAAAGGAATGGAATAATTTACAAATCTCATAAACTTATATTTTATTCACAATAGAATATAGATAACATATCAAATGTTGAAAGTGAGACATTTTGAAATGTCATGCCAAATATTGGCTCATTTTGGATTTCATGAGAGCTACACATTCCAAAAAAGGTGGGACAGGCTGCGTAGAAGGATCCGGGTACTGAAATGGCCAGCCTGCAGTCCAGATCTTTCACCCGTAGAAAACATTTGGCGCATCATAAAGAGGAAAATGCGACAAAGAAGACCTAAGACATTTGAGCAACTAGAAGCCTGTATTAGACAAGAATGGGACAACATTCCTATTCTTAAACTTGAGCAACTTGTCTCCTCAGTCCCCAGACGTTTGCAGACTGTTATAAAAAGAAGAGGGGATGCCACACAGTGGTAAACATGGCCTTGTCCCAACTTTTTTGAGATGTGTTGATGCCATGAAATTTAAAATCAACTTA